TGGCCTGTGGTTCCCTGGGTCCTCCTTCTCGCCTTTTTGAACACTGGAGCGACACTGGCTTTCCTCGAGTCCTCTGGCACCTCTCCTTTCTCCATGACCTTTCAAAGATGATGGAGAGTGGCTCAGCAATAACATCTGCCAACTCCCTCAGGACTCGTGGGAGTATCCCCTGTCCAGTTTGCCTAAATGATCTCTAACCCGATCCTCTTCAACCAAGGGAAAGTCTTCCTTTCTCCAGGCTTCCTCTCTTACCTCCAGGGTCTGGGATTCCTGAGGGCCTGCCTTAGCAGTAAAGACTGAAGCAAAGAAGGTACTGAATAACTCCACCTTCTCTGTATCCTCCATCACCAGGGCACCCACCTCGTTCAACAGCAGGCCCACATCCTCCCTAGTCTTCCTTTCTGCTACTGATGTACTTGAAGAAGCCATTCTTGTTGTCCTTGACATCCCTTGCCAGATTTAATTCCAAGTGGACCTTAGCCTTCCTCACTGCATCCCTGAATACTCTGACAATGTTCCTATATTCCTCCCAAGTGGCCTGTCCCTTTTTCCACATTCCATAAACTTCCTTCTTCCATTTGAGTTTTGCCAGAAGCTCCTTGCTCAGCCACACAGGTCTCCTGCCCTTTTGCTTGATTTCTTACTCATAGGGATGCACTGATCCTGTGCTTGGAGGAAGTGGTCCTTGAATATTAACCAGCTTGGACACTCCTACCTTCCAGAGCCCTACCCCATGGGATCCCTCCAAGTAGGTCCCTGAAGAAGTCAAAGGAAGCTCCCCTGAAGTCCAGGGTAGTAATCCTACTTATTGCCCTGCTTCATCCATGCAGGATCCTAAACTCCACCATCTCATGGCCACTGCAGCCAAGGCTGCCCCCAGCCCATCCTTCTTTGTTACTACAAGGTCCAGCAGAGCACATCTCCTTGTTGGCTCCTCCACCACCTGTTTCAAAAAGTTATCATCAATGCAAGAACCTCTTGGACTATGTATGCCAGTGAACAGGAAGGATTTCCTTCCTTCACCTACAGTGAACAGGAGGATTAAAGTGTCCATAAACTTTAGCATGTACCTTACCATTTCTTGGTTCTCTGCAAGTTTACAGGCAGCCCTGATTAACATCCTAAAGTTGTCAAGTACATACTCCTTTCCCTGTTGAAGCAGGCACCAACAAACAACACCAGCAGTAGATTCCCTCACATTCAGGGATTGCAGTGACCACTCTCATAGAATCATAGAATCGTTATGGTTGGAAGAGACCTCAAAGATCATCAAGTCCAACCTTCTACCCAGTGCCACCATACCCACTAAACCATGTCTTGAAGCGCCACATCTAAACATTTTTTTGAACACCTCCAGGGACGGTGAGTCCACCACCTCCCTGGGGAGCCTGTTCCAATGCTTAACGACTCTTACAGTGAAGAAATTCTTCCTAAATTCTTCATGAAGAAATTTTTCATGCACTGGTCTTCTATACTGCTGTTTCCGTTTTCTGCATAGGTTCCCAACACAACAGTTGAAACATCGCAGGGTCCTCAGCAGAAGCACTGTTAAACAGTGTTCTAGCAGGGGATGTTAAACAATGATCTAGCAGGAGATAAACCTTGCCCCACCCCAAACTGAGTCTCAAATACAAAAGCAATGCAACTGTTCTTGAAGTGATTTTCTTTACTTCATTTTTTCTGGGTTGAATGTCAATAATTGACATATTTTGCCTTCTTTTAGGAAATATTTAAACTCTTTAGCACACATACATGCAAAGTCATATAAAAGTTTTACACATAAGCAATAATACAGCTATACTTGTGATTTTGATAGAAAAGCATGAGCTAAATGTTTCATTTTATTTTTTTTTCTTCACTGACAATCCAAAAGTTCAGCCAGATGAATACCAAATTAAATCTCATGTCACAACTTATTTTATTTTACCTCCTCAAAACACTACACAGGTAAAAGTCTATATGTATAAGCAATAAATTGGAATGAACTCCAACTTACCAAATTTGAGTCACTGGGGGGATGATACTTTTCCGTGCCCATTCTCACCAGTCCATCATGATATAAAAATACTTTTAATGGATCACAGGAGGTTACAAGAATATACACACGTAAATCAAACTTGTAGCCTTCCATAAGAAATGGTTTGTCAAGATATTCCTGAACAATCAAGTGATCCTGAGCCTGTAACTTTTCTCCATTTCTTATTAAAGAGATCCTGGTAAAAACAAAAGTTATTTTTAAAAATGTAACGTTGATATTACTTTTCAAAAGACATTTTCATGGTCACCTAGCCAGCTAACCAGGCTAAAGTCTACCCGGATGAAGAGATGTACACATCTGATTTGTAGGGTAGAGAAAAAGTTCCATTCGCTTACATAGCTTTTGGTTTCCTGTCCTTTATGATGCCTCACTGGATGAAAAAAGGCAATGAGCCATTTCAAAATATCCTTCTGCTTCCTTTGATTCAACAATTTGTAATAATGGGTTCCCTCTACACTTAGAAATTATTTGGCAGAACAACCAGTCTCCAGCTTCTGTGATTAGTCTCCACGCAGCTCTAAAAATAGGCTTTCAGACTTTGTCACAACTTCTGCCTGAGGTACTGGCTGCAAAGAACTTTCAGTGCTAACCTGACTTAGTGATGATCTTTGCGAAGCAGGACACTGATTGGTACGACTAAGGATGGCATAGGTTAAGCTCAGTATTTCTGTATTCCAGTTTCCCCACATCAGAATGCAAAATGATTTATATACAGACTATAAACTGGCAGTCCCTAACTACATAGACTTTTATATAACTGTAACAGCTAATTTTTTCAGTGTGTAATTATTAACCCCAAATTCCCACAGCTTTCTTGCCTTAATCTTATCCCCTATTATTTATGATACATTTCAGTGTTCTGGTGCTGAATACTCCTAATATACTGAAGTACTTCCCAGGCATTTCTCTTAATTATGCTGCTACTTGTCACTTCAGCTTATCTTATCAAGAAGACTGAAAAATAAGGAAATGGAAAAGTTTGGGGGCTTTACTTTTACAGTAATTCTGATACATTTTTAATAACTAAGAGCTTTACTATACTGTATAATCCAAATTGATATTAAAAGCAAGAAAAGCTAAAACTGAAATGTCTGAAAACAAGAATAGAGTTAAGAATGAAATTGCAATATTTATCTCATTGTTTTTTACTATGCAGTCCTATCACTGGCTGTTTCAACTGCTTCAACTGAACTGCAGGTCGCAGTCTCTTCAGGGTATCCCTCCTCCAGCCTGGGTGTCACCTCCTTCCAAGAATGCACCTCCAGCAACATCGCCAACCGCGTCTCCTCTGTTTCTTCTACAGCTCAAGGCTGCTGCTTTTAAATATGTCTGTGCTTCTCTGACAGCCTGCAGCTTCGGCATGCAATGGCTGGGCTGGTCTCAGAGCTGTGGAAGATCCTGATCTCCCACACGACACTCCTGCAGCCCTCAGCCACTGAAACCCTGCCATTGATGCCCAATACAATCTCACCCTGTAAGTCTAAGCACAACAGATAAATTCACAATAAAAAAAACCCTGATCTTAAGAATTATTTGAGCTTCATCAGAAAATGCATGCTCTAATTATGCCACATTCATAACAACATTAAAATACCACTTTGATTTAGCTTTCTATTTTAGCTGTTTCAGCTTGTTAAGCCTTCATCCAACACATGAACTTTCATACATCATACAACTTGAAATACAGTCTCCTTACTAATACACAGCTTCTGTTAATGTAAATAGCATTAGATTTCACCTTCAACAGGTAAGAAGTTAACATGCAGCTTACCCATGTCCCATTGCACCGTTAGCTGGTTTGACTATGAAAGTTTTCTGTCTACGTTTCTTCTTCAGTTCTTTTACATAGTTCTGAAACTGTGTGTATTCTGCAGGGAAGATCCATGTTCGAGGAATAAAACTATACTCCTGAGGCTGACTCTTGATCATTCTACAAAAAAGTGTAATTGAGTTAAAATCTTTTAACTACTTTGGATGTTTCAATCCTCAGGATTAAAAACCATTTACAATAATTTGACAAAGAAACTTTTTTTTTTAGCAAAATGCTGTAATATGAAAGCAAGCTTCTGCAGTTTAAGAATAGTTTAAGCACACTCTAAGAACAACAAAAGCAGACTATATCTTGTGCATTTTTGCTTATTATTGTATCATATTTGCTTATTATGTTACCGGCATCCATCTCATTTCTTGGCATCCATCTTACTCCTGTTACAGTTTTTATTCAGTTTTTCAGATGATTTAATGCTATTCCTACTTGTAGAAATATTAAACTTACAACAGACCATGTGATTATAGATCTTTCCCTCCTGGATTCTTTCCTTTTTTTTTTGGTTTTTTTTTTGGAGGTTGGAGGGGTGGCAATATTTGGCAAGTATTTTCATTTTCATTTTGGTATATGTTTGAGGATGTACGAGGATCAACATAGACAAAAAAAGAGCACCTGGGATGTTTGGAGTTTCTCATGGGTGCAAAAAATATTAATAACACGGACTGAACTTAAAATTAAGATGTAAGCAATTTAACAAAAGGCGTTTTGTTTCTTTGTAGTCTTTTGAAGGAATTTCAAAAGTAAGGAATCATAGTAAATATACTTTGACACAGGCCAAGCAACTGCTCATGCACCTCCAACACAGGGCAAAACACACAAGCTTGGATTTGTGTTTGGCATCAGTATATTGTGATTAAGATTCCCTGAGCACCTTATTTAGTCAAAAGAAAGCAAAGAAATGCAAAGCAAGACAATAGGGGAGAAAATAGAAGAACTAAACTAAAAATAAGGTTAAGACGTTGTAGGGAACGATCTCTGAAACTGAATCTGGCTAAAGCATTCAGCAAGGTCCTGAGCTCCCTGCTTTAATAGCAATGGCAGATGAGGTAGCAAGCATATCTCATTTTGTAGCAGAAAAGATAAATAGAAGAGGAAAAACGGTAAAGAATTCAGTTAGTAAAAGTTTCTGTCACCAAAATCTGTGTATCTGGCAGATAGGAAGCATACACTCACCCCAGACTGGCAGCATGGGCTAGATTGGTATGGGTCAGCTTTATACAAAGTAGCTTTAATACTGGTCAACAAATATGTTATAGGAGCAATGTGGAGTTGGCGGTACAGTGCAGACTGGTATACCAAAGTTCTCAGCAGAACAAATCTAGTCTTTGCTGAGTTATATACTGGTGCAGCTAGCTTGTTTCAGGTACTCAGAATACCTGAAACTTCACACATAACCTCATATGGAATTAGTTTGGGCAACCCAAAACTACTCTGTAACATACGGTGGACACATCTAAAATACGAATACCCACAGACCAACAGAAAGTGACTTGATGTTTAAAAAGAAATTAACTGACAGGGGAAGTTCCCCAACTTTGATTATTTTTTTTTAAAATGGCACTATGACGAATTTTAATACCTTTTAATTAATTATAGATTTAGGTATACTTCTCCTTTTGTAATGAAAACTAATAGCATCAGGATAACTTAAATGTAAAAGAGACTTACAGTATCATTTCAATTTTTCTTTTCTACTATGAGCCAACATAATACTCTTGATGCAACATAAGACACTTTTTCTTTAAGTGGCTCAAATACTAATGGAAAAAACTGAGCTGCCAACTACATCTGTAAGGCTAGGACTGTAGCCAAGCCCTACTGGTATAATAGATACACTGTCACCAAATTGTTTAGCCAACCACCCAACAAACACTCTGCAGAAACCACAACAGCTATAGTAGTCTTGAAGTACTGCATGAGGTTCAGTGCTTCTGCAGCTTCATTGTAACTATTATTTTTACAAATCTGGCTTGATGGAAGCCACCAAATATTTTAAAAGAGCTTTAAAAAACATAAATAGATATTATGATTCATATATATTTTTAAATTACTCTCCATCTGCTATATATTTACAAATATCATTACCTTGCTAACCGAATAGCTTATCTAGGAAGAAATCATCCTATTTTTAGCAAAAAGCAATTTCTGTGTTAGTTTCCATCCCTCTCCAAATTATTTATCATAAGCATCCTGAAGTGTTACATGATAGAGACTTGCCATTTAACTCACTCACAGGTTTCAATACACGTACTCCCTACTCAATGAATATAGCATCATGATATTCTAGATATATTAGTATCGTTTTGTGACTACATCAGTTCTATATGCCTTTTTCTATCTTATGCATAACTGGGTAGACTACAAACAACAATATGAAGCAGAATACTTAACCATTGTTTACAGGTTCTGGTGCTCACTAAAACTTTCAACAAAAGAATTCAGCTCTGTTTTTTCCCTGCTTGGCCCTATTCAGAAACAGCTTAGGAACATCATCAAGTAGCTTGCAGAATCAAGACCCATTCCATCACAATAGCCCTATTTTCCAGCACATCTGCTATCCACTACTGTGGGTAACCACTTTTTCACTGTGCTGCTCTATCCTTTAGCCTTTGCAGTCCTTACCAGGAGGTCTGAGAATTAAACAGCAAATTACTGCTCTTCTGAGTGCTATTTTAGTTCACAGATGTGGTCAGACTGTGCTCTTGTTTCCCAGAGTGCTTTCTGTGCAAAAGAATCAAAGGTGTTGAACAAAACATAGGTTACTAAAGACATGACTTGTCAGTCTCATAACGTAGGTTCCACTGCCTAGGTTTCAAGATCCTCTGACTTCTCAAATATGAAAGGAAGTTAGTGGGTAGATACGGATGAGAACAATTCTTGGTCCATGATCAGTTCACAAACCTTTTAAATGTAAAAAACAGCAGTGCTGCAAAAAAGACCATCTCATACATGGATCTGTTCCCCTTCTCATTCATCCTGTACACCTTCCCCTCCACTTATTGTATTCATTCTCTAACCACAGTTATCCTTCACATGAGGAGATCTCATCTAAGAGACCATTTACAGAAATTAAGATCTAGTTGGCCCTACGTGGCACCTTCCCCCCCCCACCCCCCCCAAGCTTCTTTTCTGTGTTCTGACTATTCCCCTTGAAAACGATGCTCATGCTTCCTTTTGTTCTCAATTACATTTCTGTTTCTAGCTGTTCCATCACTCTGTGTCCCTATACTTTCTGTGCTGGGTTGTCTTCTTTCATATTACACACACTACCTATTACACTGCTCCCTTCCATCCTTCTGCATGTGAAAACCACATTGTCCTGTGATCCAGAGTGCCTGGATATTGGTTGTAAGAGGAATTCCTGAAGTGCAATTCCTCCTGAATAGCATTTGCCTCTCAGAGTCTGGTAGATTTGCTCTTTCATTCCATTCCCAACAGCTTGCATAAAATGGAAGGGTGAGATCAGTATAACAACAAAGATAGAAGTAAGAGAAAAAGAAAAAGAAAGAGTCTGCTCTCCACCAATTCTCAGCAGTTGTTGCATGAACTTTGAACAGTACAAAACCCACAGCTATTCCGTATGAGCCAGTAACAGGAAAGAAAAGGCTGCATGCAGCAGAAAAGCAAGAGAACACAATTAGTGTTTCTGCACAATCCTGTTCAAATAAATTTTAATACAGAACAGCAGTTGTATGGAACAAAATCCTCCACTCTACAGACAAGAGCCTGCCCCACCATGTATCCTAACTGACTTGTGATTTCACATATGTATGTCTGTTTCACAAGCAGTCTCAAGGGATATCATTTTGATTTTTATACATTATGAATACTAAGTATTGAATTGTGAGGCTATTAGTGCAAAAAAAAGACTGATTAAAACCCTGCTATATCTACTGATATTAAGTGAAGTCACAACATAGATATGTTTGATCCAGAGTTATTGTATCAGAGAAATTATTCCCATCTTATCTGTAATTTGCGCAATCTCCTCACCGAGTACCTTTAAACTGTGTTTCAAACTCAGAATTCAGTAGGTTGAGAGAGGTATAATCAGACTGTATTTGAAAACAATGTGTGCATGATAACAAGAGCCTTTTGTCCATTTTGCACATTTTTTTAAAATCACAGAACTGTAGCAGCAATACACAGGGATACCACTGCCTACCAAGCTGACCAATGTTTTGCAGTTTCCAAGACCTCTCCAAATAGCTGTTTGCCTCCATGTGCTATCTTTCTGTTTTTACTTAGGGTTAATCTAGGAGGGGCAGTGAAAAGTGCTTGTGTAGCACGTATTGACACAAGGGATCTCTGGCCCACATGTAGGACATGTAGACACCATAGCAATACATGTAATATTTGCATTGTAATAGTTGCATACATTCTACACACTGTGTGCTGTAGTTACTAAACAGAAAGGGGGAAGGAGGACATATCATGTTAATTATGTTAATATATGAAAACGAATTCTATTCTGGTAACAGGAAAGGCAGTGTAGGTAATGTTGGGGGCCAAAAGATAAACTCTATTAATAATTGCTCTTTAAACTAATTTAGATTAGAAGAATCAAAATATTCACACGCCCTAAACTTTTCCTTATTACCAGGCTGCTGAATCATTATTTAGTATTGTTTTCTTACAGATCTTACTCACAGATTCTCAGCTAGGACAATTCCTCAGAACCCAGTTATTCCACTAGAGTAAGGAGAATTTGTAATTAGACAAATGAGTCTCTCTGACTTATTTCTTATATAAACAGTAAGATGCTTCACATTTTTTAAATTTGATATGCACAAAAATACAGTCATTAATTATTTTAAACAAATAAAATCCATCCACGTACTAGTTTTTTCTGTTCTATCATTACAGGATATATGCCTGCTTGTATTATATATGAAGTGTATTACACAATAATTTAAGGCTCTCCTACATTCTGCAATGTGTAAACAGAGAACTGAATCCACATCATTTTCCACGGAAGTGAACTGGAGAGATACAGTAGCCCATTCCGATACTACATATCCAGGACCAGAGCCAAAGTTATTAAGAAAATTTGGAAATTATTCTTGGTCCTCTCGCAGCCTCGTAATAAAAATAAACAAACCTTACAAGTAATAATTCAGTATTGTACTGCATTAAATACTATGGCTGAAAAACTTAATATTAAAAGAAAGATTACTTAGTCATGTTTCTTGCCAGAAAATCCTTTCTGCAGATCTCTCCCATTCCTGGAAAATGGTTGATTCTCTGAGGAAGGAGAAAAAAAAAAGTAAGTTAGCTGGTACTTTCTCGTTTTCCTGGTATACCCAACACAATCATTTAAAAGGTCCAACTGCATGCTCAGGCAAACACAATTAGTGTTACATATAAATTATTTAAGATACTATCTTACATTATACAATGTATTCTTAGCAATACTAAAGAGGCTGTAAGTTTTATTCTCCTCCACCAACATGAGTGCTCATTGATTTAATTTCAGACATGAAAGGAGACTTCCATACTTTTATTCACAAAGCTATCTAGAAACAAAGAATGCTATCACAAAGTAATGGTAAAAAAGGAATTATTTATTCACAGAAACCATGGAGAGAGCTCTGCTTGTTAACTTACTGCTTAAAAGCTTATGAGCAACTTATAAATGATGTTTTGCATCTTCTTTCAAACTCTGATCATTCACAACACCCAACTGGCAGACAAAAGCATGAAAGCCCCAAATATTTAAACACCAGATTCCAAGTGGTATGAAAAAATAACTCTGGAAAAGAGAATAGGATTTTAAAATATGTAGTGGTATAGCCTTATTGCAGCCTGGTTGGTGGTGTTTAGTGGCTTTTTTTACTCTCCATACAAGTGTAAATGAGCAAAAGTGACACATTACTGAATGTTTCAGAGCAAAGCAGTTTACTGAAACATTTCAGAAATCCTAACTACCACTCTACCTGATAGTTCCGAAGTTCAGCAATCTTTTCTTGTTGCACAGCAGAATCACTCCATATAAGATTAGCTGTTTCATCTTCATCACGTGTTTTCACAAAACCCATTTCTCGTATTACTACACGTACTACAGAGAAATCACATACTTAGGGAATATTTTGAATCTCTAAAATAGATTAATTTTCAAAATTAAAAAAAAAAATCAATAAAGATTTTCAAACAATTCCAATATTCAATTCTTTTTCTGAGCACAATGTTAGCATGCAAGCTACTATTTACCTGGTAATATTTCCATCAGTCTATTGCAAAACTATCATTACAACTTTACAGCACCTTGTACTGATGCTGGAATCAGAGCACAACCACTGACAGGAACTGTCAAGAGCTTCAGAGCATTCCACCATCATCTTGTAAAAGTCCACCTGCACAGCTTTTAGACTTTAATCTTGGCTATCACATATGTTAATTTTAAAACAGTGACGACTACAAATGTCACTGCAGACAGGGAACAAGAATGCCTCCTTAGTCAAAGTACAGTAGTTACAAAAGCAAATGCATATATTATTTCAATATTTTAAAAAACGACTAATTATGTGCCAGGCATAATTCAGGTTTTAGGAGAAAAGATTTTTCTGAAGTTGTCCCAAGCATCAAAATACAGAACATTAGTAGATTTTATTGACAATCTTCTGCATAATAATTATTTAACATTAAATTTACAACTGTTCATCTTTCAAAGCTTTAGGTAAACTTCCAAACACGTATGTAATTCATAATTAGAGGGGTTCTCCACAGCCTTCTTGATTACTTAAGCTTTTGCATTTCAAGGCCCTTCCCTGAGTAACAAATGGGGAGTAATAGATACACAGTGTTCAAAGCTATCAACCTAATGTTACAAAAACAAAGTTTTCTTACAAAACAAAATCTTCTGGAAATGTCTCACTGTCAGCTTGATGCAAAGTCTTTTAATTCACCCCATTAGTTAGTAATTCACTCACATCAATGGCTATTAGGATGGAAAAAAAACATGCAGCTTCCTACCAATTTCATATTTTGTGCCAGCAACATTTGCAGTGATGACTCCATTCTTCTTCTTTCTGACTTTTCTTTTAATTGTGCTTTGATAGGGTAGTTCTGAACTCAAAGTCAGAGGAGCACTTCCACGGTTATCTTTGGAAAATAATGTAATTATCAACATCTTTATATTTCAAATAACATATACAAATGAACTAAAAATACATTTACTTTGTTGCAATTTAGAGGTACAAGCATACTTAATAATTAATAGGCTATACTAAAAATCCAAGACCAGCATACCTCCCTCATTAGGCAAGGATGGCATTATAACCTAGGATAGCGCAGAGCGGAGTTCAAATTCCGTTCCAAGTTCTCAGAAAATGATGAAGCTGTCAGAGCTAAATTATTTAAAGCTCTAGTCATACCATTTCAGTCTCTGATTGTAGTAAATATTAGTTCTGGAATGGATAGATATCTGTGTTAAAAAAAAATATGAGAGACTGTCACAGAGAAATCCTGAAAAAATATAAACAGCAGAAAACAAAATATGGAAATGCTTTTAATAACAAGTCAAAAGTAATGCTTATTTCAAAACATTGATTGAGTTATTGTAAATACAAAAACAATTCAATTGTTTTGTTTATGGGAAAAATAATTTTGCAGTATTAATTTTCAAAATGAGATTATATTACCTCATTTTCTTATTTTCATTCATGTATGGGAGATTCTGGGCATGAGAACAGGCAACACTGAATTCAAACAATACTGCAAACTTTCATCACAAAGCTCACTGAATTTATAGCAATTTTAAACCATATTTTAATTAAAAATTTAAAATCGGACACACTGCATTATATGTTTTCAGGTACAAAATGGGAAATAACTGAAATCACCTTAATAATCTTTTTCCACTTTTTCATTTTTCAACACTTTTTAAAGCAATTGTCCAATAATCACTTCGTAACACATCGCTGCAGTTTCACAACCACTCCCCTTGATGACACAATGGACTTAATTTCAAAGACACTTTGAGGTGGCAAGTATCTAAACTGTCAGTTTCTAAAATTAGTAATTATTTTCATAAAATGCTATTTTTCATGTCTACACTGATGCAAAATTTCAATTTTTTTTTCTCTGTGAATACACTACCAGAAGTGAAAATCCCACATATTAAAAAGTTTTTTAGGTCCAGTTGTAACAACGATGGGCTAAAGTATTAGGGAAAAAAAATCAGGAATAAAACACTTCTAAATACATTGCTACATGACTTCAGGCATGCAGCACTGTTAAAACAAAGTCTGCAAGGAAACAAATGCTGTCTTTGGCAGGCTGCCTCAAACAACTCTCTGAGTTTTTGAAACATACACAATATAAGTTACTCATTTTTAAATGCTTTCATTTCTTTTCTGCAATTATATGTGTGGCTACAGTTCCTAACGCTAGCTTTAAACTAGTTTATATTGCCACTTCTGGTGATCGCAAAACTTATTTAAAATAGCTTTATAGAGAGCGCGAGGAATTTCTTCTGCTATAAATAGCAGAAAATTACAGCAAAGTCAAATTCAGCCATGACTTATGATGTGAAACATATCTGGTCATAAGATTGGACAAGATGTGCATTAGCGAAGTTGCCAAAACATTACTTATAATCCTCATTTTTCAGTTGTGCGTGTGTGTGTGTACACACATGTCAGAGAGAGAAAGAGAGAGATACAATTATATTCTGGACAAGTCACCCTCTTGGTAAGAAAATATAAAAGTAGATAGCTTGAGATGCAAGATCTTACTTCCTTTCAAGACAGAAATGTACCCGTAACAGTCCATTAACACAAAAGGATAAGAAAAACAAATTATGGTTCTGTGTCACCAACATACTAGGGGCTAAATTCTGCTTTGTAATAAGACAACCAAACCTCCCTCATGTCCATTTAGTGGAGTGCCACAAATTAACACTAAAACGTGACCCTGCATATTTATCCAGAAAGTAAGAACAGGAGCTGTTTTATGCACAGATACAAATGTTTGACAGCATAGCAGTTAACACCCAGCCTTGTACTTGCTACATACTCTGCTGACTCGCCAAGAAAATCCCCCCAAACCAAACTAAAACTGCAAGGTCATTTTTAAGTTTTAATATTTTGGATGTCATCATCTGAGAAGGTGGCCTGAAAGTCCTTCTGCCTGCTGGCCTACTAAAATTAGACACAGAGATGGGAGAGCAAAGCATTCATCCTTCTTAAAGCCACTGTGAAGGAAAAACAGTGCTGGACACAATGACTCACTGAATATTGCATGTTATCTGTTTCTCAAGCCAAGAATACCACCAGAGTAAAAGACATGTTTAGTTCCTGGGAATAATACCGAAGTACGTCTGTTTGCCAATTAAGGACTTCTATGCACATACACAAATGCCTAGCAGTTGTTCCTCTGCTGTATTGGCTAAAAAATTTTAACAAATGTGGAAGAATGTCAAGATGACTAGTATTTCCTCACGAGAAACGCCAGCCCTTACTAACACAGCATGATTTACAAGTTATGCTATGGTAATAAAAACCAAGCAGCTCATAATCAGCTTATAATCACAGAAAAGTATCTGCCCAAAGTTATTATAACACATTGTATTCTGAAGGTGGACCATAAAGCTCCAAGCTCCACTACATTGTTGAATTACTGTTTTTCTTTATATATATACTATTCCACTCTTTTGAGAAGAATATTCTTTAGAGTTTAAATAGAAAGCACCAACACTCAAGGTCCGTGACTTTCAACCAGTCAACTTTTTAGCACACGTACATGAGTTGATGGTAAAGATTTATGGTCGCCTCCAGAGCATTCTACAGACAATTAGTAGTTTGGCCATATGGAAAACAAAGTAATTGGAGCAACTAACTCTTACAAAAATCTTTGCAAACTGATCATTGAAGTAACTTTTTTCTTGACAAGATTATGGATGACAATTTTTATCATCACAGCTGAAGCATGCACTCCTCTAATGATGTAAAATTTTGTTACAAAGACACATGCAGTCTATTTGTCAAATCCTGATTTAAACTGAATTTTTCAGAGACAAAAGGGATCATTACTGTATTCTCTATTCAATTACTCTAGGATTTTGACTTTTCACAAGCGCTGTCCTATACCAATAAAGTTAAACTGTATTCTGCCTTCAGCTTTTATATAATAACTCAAAATTGTTTTACAATTGCTTCACTTGTCTTAAGTCGCCCATCTCCAAACAACACTGACTACCAAAACAGTAGCAGTTCTAAATTAGTAGTTTTCCAAAATATTTTACATAGGACGCAGTCCTTTCCTTTGTTCATACTGGAGCCGCCTCCTTTCCAAAGGGCAAATACAGGTCCAATGAAACTGGAGAGGCTCAGCTTTTCTCCACCAATTCAAGTGACAGATGAGAGGCAGAGCATCTTGTCAGGGGGAAATACATTACCCAGAGCACTAGCCGTGAGTTGACTAAGCCATGGGAGCAGTAGACTTGCTCCTGCTTAGACCTCCATGCTTTGTATGTTCCCAGTGCAGTACCACGAGAAGTTCCAATCCTGCAGCAAGAAAACCCAAGACCAGGCTACTGCAGAAGCTGCAGCCCTCTCCAGTGAACTGCAACTGGTCCTCAGACTGCACTTCAGATGAGCAGTTCTCCAGCTGGGGGAATGGGTCACTTGGGAGAGACAGGAATACATCTGAGAGCAATACACGAAGGGCTGTTGCTGAGGGGAGGGAGCTGGAAGGAGAGGGCTGCACACTGACAGAGCACTGAGGTGCAATGCTGCAATACCACAGGCCCTGGCAGCCACAAGCTCCCCACATGTCTTTCTTCTTTTTGACTTCCATACAGCAGAAATCACTCAAGTGTTACTTCATTCTCTGACCCAGGTCCTCCCCAGGCACCTTTTTCTAGCTTACATCTCTTGATTTGTTATTATTGCCTAGCCCCGCTCCCAGGTCAGAGCATCGTTGTCTCAGGCAGGCTGAAGGAAGAAGACGTGCAGCACAGCCTGCTTCGCGGGCAGCCTCTGCCGCCCCAACGGAATTGCCAGTTACAGGGCAAAGCTTAGTGCAGGGCCCACCAGATCACGCAACGGTAACGGCAGCAGCATCGCCAGGTTATGATTACATTGAATTCCAAGTCAGTTCTTAGAACCGTGACAAGATTTTACTCATAAAACAAGTATAACCTATAACGTCCGTTCAGCTACAACAATGTAGAGGCGTATCTCTCTAGTAATCCACCTGAAAGACCTGTTTCTAAGAAATTGGTTTTAATAACATAGAAGAAAGTATTCTATTTCCAGACCAGGACTGACAGAGCTTGCTTAACCTTGGCAAGTCAGCTATCAGGAATCTCTGAACTCACACTCAAGACAGAAAAGCATCACAGTTCCTGCTGTATATACACCATTTCCCTCCTGAAACTGTGATATACACAAATTGGTGAAGGTTTGTTGCTCACCCACACTGATTCAAGTGTTGCTGAACAAAAATGGTTAACCTATAAATGGAGAAAGACTTGTGAAGAAATGAATGCATTTTCATCAGGTTAGCACATTCTTATACAAACAAGCACTTTGAATAAAAGTGTTCTACGGCAGAAAAAAAGAAGAAAGATGAGATGTTACCTTTACTGTTGCCTGGCAAAGGTGCGAGAGAGCCAGCAAGAGAGATATACTGCACACAATCCTGCCCTAGAAAGGGACAGAAGAAAAAAAAAGGAAAGGGGGGTGGGACAAAAGAAAGGAGATTTTTCCTGCAGGGACAGCAGAGGTAGGGTACTCTTGCTGGAGGGGGAAGTGTTGCACACAGACAGGGACCAAAGCAGATGCTTGAGTTCCTCTAAGGGAACAGGCTGAGCAAGGTACAAGGGTGCCCAAGTGAAACGCAGGGGACAGTGGGGAAAAGTGGTTTCATAGTTAATGGAATGATCCATGTTTCCTTGATATCAAGTTGTAATATGTTGTAGAAAACTAAAAATTAAGAGTATTTTTTGCTATTACACAAATTAACTGTATCATAAGAAGTCAGTAAATTGCCTGAAAAATATTCTTCTGGCCTAGGTTATATAGAAGTATTTTTGAACAAATCCCTCTCTTATTTCCTAAGGTATGTACTCCACACTGCTCACAAGTGACCTCTGCCTTTCATGAGCCTTTACGTTACATCCTGATGCAGTGTGGAGCTGAAAAGGTTATTTTTAATCGCCAAATAGGAACTGCATGACATTAGACCCTTTTTTTTTTCCCAAAGAGTAAGCATCCCAGAAAGAGACTGAATTAATCAGATCAAAATAGAGAAGGAGGAGTCAAGTCAAACCTAAAATAAAGTGGTGCAACTTGAGAATCTATTCCAAAGAAAACTCAAGTAAAAGAGATTCTTCAAGCTAACTTGGATCATACCAGTAACTATGAAACCACTACTGTGTGCCCTAACAAAAAGAGACTAGATTGCA